CCCCTCCCTGCCCTAGGAGTCCGTCCTGGAACCGCCTGTGATTCATAGCCACTGTGATCCTTGAAAGTGTTGCTCATTTCTGGATTGTGTGTCTGTCCAAAATAAACATAGTTCGGGAAGGGACGGTGCCCAGAGATGAGCTTTTTGTTGAAGTGTAGCTACCTTTCTCTGCTGCCCATCGAACTCATTTCCTTGTGGAATGCCTCATAATGCTCTGGAAGCGACAGTGCTCGCGATGCTCAACACACACCAGTGACATTTGCTGTTGCAAAGCTTGGCTTCTGTCGGGAACCAAGCTTGGCTTCAGAAGATTCCCATGCCATTCCGCACCGACTCGGCCATCTGTGTTTACAGTTCAGGGATGAAACACAGACAGGACAACAGCTAATGCACATAGAAGCTCGCTTATCTGGATATCTAAATTAGCAATCAATGCTTTCCCACAACTGTCAGTATTCGGCTGTGTCCCTTTCATCGGCGAGCCTATGGTGCCAAACAAACTCTCATAGTGTGCATCTTAAAAAAATTTTCAAAATACACATGGAACGAAAGCTACGATTGCTAGGAAACTAGCTAGGAACTCTCTCCCTCCCCTCTTCCGTTGAGCTGAAGATTTCTTCGAAAGATGGAACGAGCGCTACGATTGCTAGGAAACTAGCCAGGAACCCCTCTCCTCCCCCTTGAGCTGAAGATTTCTTCAGAAGATGAAACGAGCGCTACGGTTGCTAGGGGAATGTCCAGCAGAGGTTTTGAGTATTGGTCGAGGCGGCCAGGAAAATTTCTGGATTTACAGGCTGGGAGCCGGGGACTGTGAGTCATAATTCACTCAAATATTTGGCCACGAAGTGGTACCCTATTGACCAAACATTATGGCATCCACAGTTTTACTGAGCCCTATGGCAGATTATTATTTTTCCAGGCTTTTTTTCAAATCCTGCAGATTTTCTCAAAATAATTTTTTGCAGTATATTATTATTGCTGCACTGATTTGTTGATATTTGTTACAAAACAATATGGATTTCGAGACAATGGAAAAGGCAATGTACGGGGACGTGGAAGACGACGAGGAGCTGATGGCCGAGCTGCTGGCGCTGGAGGCCGAAGAACGAGCGGCCGGACGGATAACCGCTGCTGCAGAGCCTCAACAAAATAGCGCATCATCAGCCGGTTTGTGCATTTGTTAGCAATTCGATCAGTCAGTTTGGTTGGCTTGTAAAGTTACCAATGAATTCTCTTGCTGATAGGTACCTTAAAAAAATATTTTAATCCTTCTATGCACCAGCATGCAGACCAACGTTCTTCAGGAATGATGTTTTTTTAAGGCGGGGGAGGAGGAGATTCGGTCACAGATTGTAAATAAGGCACTTACAAAATAGAAGAATAGAAGGATTTCACTTGAATGTCTTGTGTTTGAAGACATTTTATGACGCAGTCTGTGTGTCTCATCCTTTAGATGTATAAAATGCATATGTAATGATGGTAGCCCCTCTTCAGTGTTCGAACACATACAGTGGGCATAGTTAACCGTTGGAAACATGCGGGCTAGATTTACATGCAAAAGCTCGCGGGCCGTCTTTTAATAAAACTCAGATAGCAATGCACCAGGCTTGCTGGTGCGACCATGCGCTGGGACGGTAGTATTGCACTATGACTCTCCCCGTTGCTGAGTTGAAAGTGGGTGACAAAGCTTACTCGTTTCTGAACGCACACACACATACCCTCGATATTGTGTCTTTTTGCACTTGCATAAAATGCAAAAACGCATAAAAACGAATAAGTTTTTATCAGGTTGTTCACTCAGCAAAAAAATAATAAACAATAGCAAGTTAACATGAAGTCTGAACTTGAACTTTTGACACAAGATTGTTGAATTCTGGATTTATGTCACTGACATAGAGTGTGAAAGTATTTTCCAGATTCTTCTCTATTAGCCTCGCGCGTATTTTGCTTTTATTTTAATATGAATGCAGAAGCGTGACGGAGTACAAACTCCCGTTTGTCTAGTTGGGCATTACATTCCGATCCTCTCTGCGGGCTGCCGGTTGCTTAAATATGATATAAAGGATAAGCAGATTAGCATGGCTTCTTTGCCATTTCATCAGTGGATTTTACAGTCGATTCACAGAAATTTTGGCTTTTCGATTGCTGTATTTAAAAAGTTTGCCCCTCAGAGACTGGACATTCATTTCCTCCTTCGCAGTGTTCCTGTCGATCTCTTGTTTTTAACTTAGTTTCAATGCTTCTATAACTAGTTTTTCGTAGATTAAAACCAAATTTTATATAAAAACTATTTGGAATGTTAATAGTCACATTTCGAAACTGTTAAGACTGTTCCAAAACTCCTCCTCTACCGGAAGAATCGTTAAGCTCGTAATTACTTAATAAAATAAAACGAATATCGGAGTTGCTGTCAACTTTCTTCTAAGCGCTGGACCATTGGACAAAGGCAACTGAGAAAGTTGGCATTTACATAATTTTAGAAACTTTCATAATTTGAGAAGCTGATCAAAATACCAAACTTATTTTTTATCAGATATCAGAATTCGACGCCGTTCAGTGCTTCATAGAACTCGTAAAACGTGACTTTTCTAAATATGATATCTTTTCCTTTTTTGGGCCTAATTACATTTTATCATTTATCTTTTTTTTTTGCTTTTTTTTTATCACAGCGAACACTCATCGCTTTTTACAGGTCATCAGAAAAGTGTCACTGCTACTGCTGATGCTATTTTCGCTGCTGCTACCGTTGTGGAAAAACCGGGTGGTGGTGTTTATGGAATTTCAAGTGTCTCCGATGTATCGGACGATGGTGAAGAGGGGCATGACGTCGATATTAACGATGCTGATCTTCTGGTTAGCATTTTCACACCAGTTATTATTATTATTGTTATTATTATTATCGTTATCATTATTATTATTATTATCATTATTATTATTATTATCATTATTATTATTATTATCATTATTATTATTATCGTTATTATTATTATCATCATCATTATTATTATCATTGTTGTCGTCATTACTATTATTATCATTATTATTACTAATATCATTATTATTATTATCATTATTATTATTATTATTGCAATCGTTCAAGATATTTTTTGCTGCGGCACTTTGTTTATTTCATCGTTAAATCTTTTCACACCTTGGAAATATCTGGTATCTCCCTCATTTATCTCTTTTTTAGGCCTGTCTCATCCACATAATTTCGAATAGGCATACAAGGGGTTCTTGTTACTTAATTCGAGTTGGATTATTTAAGATAAGTGATAATGAAAACTTAGCACTAGGTTAGGATGTGTAAGGTAGTACATATTTAAAAGAATCGTTTTTTCATGCTACAAGCTGTGAAGGAAAGGCGGGGTAAAGTTTTAAAAAAAGTTAAAAGAATTGACCGATCGGAAAAAACTGGAAAAAACCTTGGCTGAGCCAAAAAGAAAAAATGGAAAATTGGAAATTGAGTCCAAAAAGCAGATTGAAAAAATCGAAAAAAAATCCTGGCAGAGTAAAAAAAATTGAAAAGTTGAAAATTGAGTCAAAAAAAACCGGATAAAGTCATGGTTGAGTCAAAAATTTCAAAATTTAATAACCGGTTCGCAGTTTCTCACCTTAAATATTAGTGCTTTTTATGCAGGCCGAACTGTCAAATTTGGTTGGGCAAGAGAAAGCGGAAGATCATGCATCCTCTTCGAAACCAACACCAGCAGCACCCCCTCAGGCTCCTGTTGACACGGCGATGTTGCGCAGGCTGAACGAACTCAAAGAGGAATACAGTGCAGCACGGAAAACGGCAAAAGAGGAATTTCGCGCAAAAAGGTTTTCCCATATAATTTGAAGATCGATGTCGAAACGAAAATCCTTGGGTTGCATATGAAAGCCCCGTGCTACCCTCTATCCATCTTTTTGCGTCCTGTGCCGTTTTTATTGTTATTCAGCGCTTTGAGTTTTCTGAAGGCGCTTATTGTATTTGTGTAGGGCAGCAGCATTTTTTCCTCTTTTAAAAAAAATTGAACCAATCTGTGATTATACTAGCAAAATTGAAAATTTCCGTGCAGAGCTGCAGTGTTTTTTTTTTTCTTCTGGAATCTATTTGATAATCAGTATTATCATTTTGCATGAGATTTGGCCCTTGAACAATTTTGGTTCCCTTTGAAATAACGGTTTACTTACTTGTTACATTGTTGATCTTTTTTTACTACTTTAGGTAAGAGAAAACTGAATTTGTCTTATTTACTGGATTAAGTTTCCGTATTCACTGCCTAGCTACAAATCTCCCCGGACTGCATACGGTTCTGGTTAGATCCTGCCAAATTTTCCCCTTCGATTCCGCTTCCGGAGGCCGAGAAATATGCTACCTGATATCGGACCCTGCAGTCATGTTCTCCATAATCGGACAGTTTTTTTGCAGTTTCATTTTCATGTTTTTGTTTTTACGAAGTATCTCTGTGCTTGGCTTCTCCTGTAGAGCAGTTCATTCTGAGCTAAATAGGTTGCAGCTTCCAGGTCAAACCTGAAAATGCAGAGCAA